TTTCTTTTCTTTTCTTTTTTTGCCTTTGAGAGGGCAAATACAAAGATATGATATGGTGGGAATGTGTTGGAGGGCTACCTAACCCAGTTTTTGATCCGGCAGGACTTACCACAGAAATTCACGGAAATCTGAACTAACATCTGAAGGGATGGTCCTTAGCTAACCAGGAGAATGTAGCAACACTGAAGCCCAAGGAAGGGAGAACGTACTTTCAGGATTTGGGGGATGCTAAATAGTGCTTAAAGATTCAGAGAAAAGACTTAAAAAGTTATTTTAAGGAGGGGGTAGGATGGGAAACCAGACAGCATGGGCTAAAGAGTCATTGACTTGAAGGTGGGAAAAGAAACGGAAGCAATAAATGTAAATAAATTACTCTTTACAAGAAACTGCACTATGCAAGTGACAGGACAAGACAGCAAAGGAGCAGCATGGGCCGGCAGGCGAGTTACAGCACTGCGGAAACTGCCAAGTGTTCTGTAAAGCAGCATGACACATCTAGGATGCCTTTTCTCACAATTTTTAGACTAATATAGAAAGACAATTTTAACCTCTTCAGTTTTGAAAGTAAATGTCACCTGAACTTCTTTACGAAGCTTTACTTTACTAATTGGATGAGTGAGCTTTGTCCTTACATTGTATAACTCCCACATTTTACTTCCACTGCTCTCCAGGCATTTGTACTTTTTCCTTATACGTACCTTCAGATCTTTATCCTTCCTGAAAGCAATTTTTGCTTTATGCAGGGTCACATGCACATTTTAAAATAAGTGCTTTGGATAGCTTAGTTTACAATGCTTTGGAGTTTACTATCCCGAGTGGCTTCTTTAAAAACAATGTCCTGAAACACTGGAGCACGTTGTAAATTCATAGATTCCACTCTCCAGCCCCCTCCTTCCCCACTGCATTGTGGCTAATTCAGAAATGTTTAACCATGGCATCAGTTACTCATTTTACAGTAATGTTTTAGGTTAAAGTAGTTAAGATGGTAGCTGTACTGTCCCACCACTGCACAAGGAAATCTAGCTTGGACTACAGTCTCATTTTTTTTTTTTTGAAATGAAGTCTTGCTCTGTCACCCAGGCTGGAGCACAGCGGCACAATCTCAGCGCACTGCAACCTCTGCCTCCCGGTTTCAAGAGATTCTCTCACCTCAGCCTCCCCAGTAGCTGGGATTACAAGCACCTGCCATGACACCCAGCTAATTTTTGCATTTTTAGTAGAGAAGGGATTTCACCATGTTGTCCAGGCTGGTCTCAAACTCCTGACCTCATGTGATCCACTTGTCTTGTCATCCCAAAGAGCTGGGATTACAGGCGTGAGCCACCGCGGCTGGCCAGTCTCATTTTTAAGAAGTAGATAATTTGTATTTTCTAAGAATAAAATATGTGAAGAAGATAAAGGCAGAGTTGAAATTGTGAGGAAGGGTGGTCCACCTTCCCATCTCCCACCCCTGAAGCCCCTCTGTGGAATCTTGGTGCTGCTGGAAACACTGCTTGAAAACATCTAGGTCCGACCCTATCTTCCTTTAACACATTTCATTTTACACTCCCGGGAACTGATCCCTAGTTCATTTGTTCAATTTTTATAAACAAAGGGGCTTCAACTTTAGAGGTTCTATGGACAACTTCTTATGGAAGAAAGATTGATTTTCTTACTGCTATTTGACATTAGTTGCTGTGTTATGCAAAGTGATCCAGATAAATGAAACCTTTAAAAGTGTATTCTTGAGTTTCTTTCTTTAAGTCCACTAATTTCCTTTGTAGATGATAATTCCTGTATTTATCTTGTGCTCCTTCTTGACCAGAAGTGTTTGTGATTAAAATTAAAAAAAAAAAAAAAAAAGCGTAACTTCAGTAAACAGATAAGATGATCCCCTGGGACAGCGGAAAGCACAGGGAGCCATGGAGGTGAGTTCAAGGTTATGAAGGAACAAATACATCAGAGGAGGAAGAGGGAAAGGGAAGTGAGATGGGCAGACACCTGTGATAATAGTGTGTATGTTCCTCTGGAGCACAGTGAATATGCATCTTTAGACCAGATTCGTTTCTGTTTTTTGGTATTTTAATTTTTTTGCTGTATCTTTAGACACGCATGTGTGATTTATACTTCTAACTTGTTTAGTCTTGTTATCTAATTAGAAAAGTTATTTTAAAAGCTTTTAAAGAATACAGAGCTTTTATCTATGTGCTGAAGTCGTAACAAGGGTGAGAGAGGCGCATCTCACACTTGAGTGTGAGAACCCAATCATTACATTTATGAACTAGAACATCATCTTTTTATCTTAAAATGAGCCCTAGACTAGAAGTCACAAAGGTTGAGACTTAAAGTAATTAGTAACCATTGTGACCTCTGATGTCTCTTTTCTTTTTTTCTTTTTTTTTTTTTTTTGAGATAGAGTCTGGCTCTGTCACCCAGGCTAGAGTGCAGTGGTGCAATCTCAGCTCACTGCAACATCCACCCCCTGAGTTCAAGGGATTCTCCTGCCTCAGCCTCCCAAGTACCTGGGATTACAGGCACCTTCCACCATGCCCATCTAATTTTTGTATTTTTAGTAGAGACGGGGTTTCACTGTGTTGGCCAGGCTGGTCTTGAACTCCTGACTTCATGATCCACCCACCTCAGCCTCCCAAAGTGCTGGGATTACAAGCATGAGCCACAGTGCCCCGTCATCTCTTAAGGATTCTTACTTGAAAAAAAGAATGAAGCATGTAAGCATGTGTATATATTTTTAAGTTTAACATTTTAGAGTTGATGATGTATTTACTGTATTTGTCTTTTACTGAATACCCCTTCCTTTGATAGCCTTAAAAATCAAAGACTCCATTAGTGAT